CACGTAAAGAAGATCAACCTTATGAACGCTGGTGGGCACCACCAATTCGTTGAGGACCATGAAACAAAAAGGCAGAAGGAGGGGGAATTTGCTCTCTTAGCTTGAACTGGGACTTCCATCTTCTCCTGCCCTCAAGATGAGGATGTGGTGACAGTGCAGTCCACTGGTTCTGGCGCCCACAACCTGGTCAGGCTTCGAGATCCCCACAGAAAGCCACGCCCATGATGTTTGATCAAGGAAACATCTTCAAGACAGCGATGGCCCATGAGCATCAGAGTGTGTTGTATCCGAATCGGATGGCGATGTGTAATAAAGGTCTGAAGCCTACAGTGCTACAAAGAGGACTCCTAACCCTTTATTTGGATCAAGAACAAGGAGCCTGCTCTTCCCGGTCCCTTTTCAAGTACAGGAGCTGGTCCTCACAGGATAATTCACCTACATTCCTGGGGAAGATGTTGAAAGCGGACAACTACAATGCAAGTCTCTGAAAGTCAGTCTCCCATTGCTGGAGACACTGCAGGGTGGCTAACCCACTAACCATAGCCAAACCCCTTCTCCGTGAGAATCAGGTATATGAATCCCAGTGTTGTTTTTCTAGTAAGAACATTCTGTTCACGAGGATGTTGTCCAAAGTAAATATATATGATCTAATAAGGCCCATATGAGAAACTCATCTCAGACTCAATGCTATCCTTTCCCTCTAATGCCATGCTCATTCCAGAGGCAATGTTTGCCCCACATAACAATTTTGGTTCTACTTTAGTCCTAGAAGCCACAGTCTTGGCATTGAACTATTATCTACAAGGTCCAGCAATTCTCCACATATGCATACTGGGGAAGTGAGCAAAGTTCTCGTTCTAAGGCGTGAAAGATCTCTTTCTCCTTGTTACCTTCTGAGACTTTCCACTCTTTCCAAACTCTCTGTTTCTCAATAGGTTTAAGTATTTGCAAATTAAGGCCCCAGTGGAATTTTTTAAAAATTCTGTTGAGTGCTACTCTGCTTCCCCTGATGCAAAGAAGCAGTCTCCTGCTCTAAAAGGGGGAAAATACAGGCAGAAATTGTAAATTAGTACTTCAAAATTTATTTGGCCACACACTTTACAAAAGAAGCTCTTCAATCCCAAATGGAGATGTTTGGTAGTTAATATCCATTTCCCCTGATAGATGGTCAAATAAGTGTATCTTATTTGACCAACACTATTCAAGGATTCCTCTGTTCCTCACTTTTTGCCAAATTTTCACTCTTCAAGGCACACCCACCTCCACTCCCATTATTCTCAGCAGATGACTACATCAACTCTCTCGTCTGTCAGGAAAAGATATTTTTACTTATTCTAGTCAAGGCTGACCCCTCCAATTATGCTTGTGATCTCGTCACTTTCCCTGGCATTTTTAACCATTAATCATTTTGCACGCTTGTGCATTTCAATTGCTGCTGTCATGTGGACTCCTACTAAAACATTTTTTTTAAACTCCACAAACTATTGTTCTCCTCTCCTTTTCCCCCTCCCCATAGATTTCTTCTAAGAGGAATGTATATATATATACATTCCTCTTAGAAGAAATCTATGGCCTTTACTTTCTCACTATTTTCTCAGCTGTGGCCTTTACTTTCTCACTATTTTCTCAGCTACTTACAAACTCGTGATTACAGAGAAATCGCCGTATCCAACAACTATCTCTCAGCCCTCTCTCTTGAAAGTCTGCTTGTTTAATGAGACTCACTCATTACCCTGTCTCTTCCTGGCTTCCCCTCCCATCTCAGTCATGCTAGAACTAGGAGAACCAGTTAGAGTATCATCCTGATGATCTCGATCAGAGTCAGGAAACAAAATGCAGCCCATTGCCTGTTTTTATAAAGTTTTATTGGAACACCCATTCATTTGCATATTGTCTATGGCTGTTTTCATAAAAAGAGCCATACATAAACAATACAACGATTGAAGTTTCTTTTGAGAGCCAAATTTTTTAAACAAACTATATAGGTAGGTACATTGTTATTAATTTAGAGAGTACTCCTAAGCTGGCCTTTGCTAATAACTCAAGGGGCCAAAGAGCCCCATGTGGCTTGCGAGCTGCAGTTTTCAGACCACTGTATTAGGAGCTATCACTGATGAAAATTAATGACTAATTGGAAGAGGTGCAGAAGGAAACACAATTTTGAGAATGACACCTAAATTCCACTTGTGGTGTATTAACTGAGGGAGGGAACATGAAGCCAGAAAGTTTGGGTGAGGAGGTGATACAGAAAGGGAGAATATGATCATGATTTTACTTAGAGCCATTTTACATTTGAGTGTAATCCATTATTTCCCAAAAGAAGAGAACATATAGCACTTCAATGTCCAAGAGAAAAATTGGGGCTGAAGAGAAAATTTGGGAATGTTTATATTCCAGAAAAAGAAAAGATACAGAACAGAAAATGTTCACAATTAGGAAGTTCCAAGGCATCCATTTCTCCTCAATTGTGAGGTTCTGCACAACATTTTTCTCATTAAACTTCTTACTTCTTGCATGATTTAGCATATACAATTGACTTTCCTTATTCACAGATTCCTTATTTGCAAATTCACCTACTTGCTAAAATGTATTTGTAACCCTGAAATCAACATGCATTATGCTTCCAGTCATTTGCTAACATGTTCACATGGGGGAAATTTTGAGTTGCCTGATCCACTTGTTCCCAGCTGAGATTGAACAAGGTGACTCTGCCTTCTTAGTTCTCGTACCGAAAGACAAATGTCCTTTTAGTGGTTCAATTCATGTCGTGTTTTCTGCATTTTAGTTGGTGACTTTACTGTTTAAAACACTTCATAGTTCAGAAGGGTTATGCATTTAGTTCTATGCACAAGGCTATAACATGCCTTATGGGAAAAATACATGTATCAGATACGCTTCATTCAGGCTGTTAGCCATGGTTCAATGTTAATGATCATTGTTAAGTAAGGTCTTACATGTTAAGTAAGGTCTCCTTAAACAGAAACGCACATAAAACAAGGTTATATATTGCTCAGTGAACGAAAATGTTGTGAAGGGCTTTCAGGAACCTAAGCCTGTATTTCTCCTAGAAGCAGTGCTTCAAGATTCACTGTTTATAGGGAATTTGTAGAATATAACTATCGTAAATAATGGGAACTGACAACCAGGTTATAAACTTCTTGAAAACTCCTTTATTCATTTTTTTTTAATTCATTTAAGCTGAAAAGAAATCATAACAGTTCAACCATTTGTGGTGAATCAAAATTCCTTATTCATCTTCATAGTAATATAGTACTCTGCCATTCATGGACATTTCCTTAAAGTATCAATTATTACTAAGGAATAGACCTTATTCACAAATGTGTGTGACTTTTCCAAAAGACAAGAACTAATAAACACGTTTGGGTTGGGAAAGAAGTTCAAAGATGATGTGGGTCAAAGGCTAGAGCCTCCAGGCAAGGTCTGCTTCTATGAATAATACATTTAGAAATACTTTAGAACAAAAGACAACCACAAATGTAAACAAAAGTGCCTAATAATTTTTAACCAAAAGGATCATTAAGTGATGTAACAAGTTTTGTTACTGAACGTTTCATAACAATATCATTCAATATGCCTCAAGCAACATGAATATTTAATGAAAGCTAAATGGGAGGGCAGTTGTAATGGGTATGAAATTTACAATTAAAGTTTTTTAACTTTCATAAAAGTATAAATTGGTAATTTCCCAAACTGGAAGCTGAACACTTAATACAATTTGAAATTAAAGAACAATTGTTTACACAACATCGAATAAGGATGTTCCCAAGTCAGATATCAAACTGCAAATTCAAAATAAACAGAGGAAATGTAAACAGTTATAAAATACCAACATTTAAGAAAAACAAAATACCAACATTTATTAATGTTGCTTAGAGCAAGGCTATTCATAGTATGGCCCGGGAACTGTTTTGCAACCAATCCAAAAGGAAAGATGAAGCTCGTGCTAAAAGAAAACCAGTTCTAGCAGTGGTCGCCAACCTGGGGTCTGGGCCGCTGGTGGTCGGTGAGGTCCGAAAGGTTGGCAACTGCTGAATTCTAGCTCTAACCAGCTGCCTTACAGCAAGGATTCCTTGAGTCTAAGCTCGGTGTTTAGACTCCGGCACAGGCACCTTCTCTCATCACAGCGGACAAACAGGTCCTGCTGGGTGCCATTACAATTTTACTCCTCAGAGTTAGGTTAATTTTGTGGGGGGTGAGGGGGAGTTAAATGGCAATTGTAACTGTCACTTATTCTACTACTCTTTAATCTCCTCTCTCTAGGGATCGAATCCAAGAGGAAAATTAAATTGTATAGATTCATCACAGTTTCACAGTCCTCTTCAGACATTAGTTCACCTCACAGGGGCTCCTTAGATTTCTGCTTCAGTCAGATACATCATCTGCTTTTGACAGATATTTGTTTTCCATCTTGGGAGGGGGGAAAAAATAAGAATTGAGTCATTTGTTAATAACTTCTCTCTAAAGATTGCTTTGCTTTATTTTTACATTTCAATCAGTGAAAATATTTAAGTTCACCCTTATGAAAAAAACTGAATACTGTTTATGTCCAACGACTGGCTGCTTTTATTTATTTATTTATTTATTTTACAATAGAAATTGTTAGGAAAAAAAGTCTGGAAATTTACAACTCTGTGTATTCTATAAACTAAGGGGAAGTATATAAAGTATTTTAATATTCCTAAGAGTAAAAGAAAACTAGTATAAAATATATTTTAAGAACTGGCTTATAATTCAAAATTCTAACATTTCTTGATTTTTTTTTTTTTTTTTTTTTTTTTTTTTTTTTTTTTTTTTAGTATGGCACAATTTCTCTAGAAATTTAAATATATAATATGGTCTTTTATAAAAGTAATCATTTTCTCTTTTTCCAATGGCTTTCTAAGCTTTACCTGCATTACCTTAATACTGAAGGCAAATAAATGGACAATCAATAATTTTAAAAAAACTCACCAGTTTTACATATGTTAAGAGCCCAGTTCAGCTTTCACAATGACTAGTTTATTGACCCAACAAACTGCTCCTTAAAGAATTTATATGTATATTCATATGTCATAAGACAAGAGCTCCTTTGGCACCTGAGTTAAGCACAACAGAGTGAAGAATGCCTAGACAAAGTTATCTAAAGACTATATTTTATCTTTTTATACATATATACATATACCTGTACATATATACACACACAAATAGAAATAACTTTCCTTCAAGAAATGCTGGGGATATAAAGACTAAAATGACCTTAACATGACAGTATAATAGACTTTTGAATCGTCACCCAAGATTGCCCAGGAGTGACCTTGCCCCGCTGGGACTGCACAGTCCCCATCCCTGAGCACACGCCCTGCTGTCCCGAGGGACTTCCTGGCACTGGTCCCACCAGCAGACCGCGAGGACCCCTCTGCAGGGGGCCTTCTGTGAGCCGCAGCAACACAAGGCACTGACACGGGAACTTCAGAAGCGCTAACGGCATCGGGTTTGATGACCACATCTACCATGCTGACTCCGGCATTGTGTTCAGAGTCCTACTGGTGCTGTGACTTTTTAAACGCACAGTTAGAACTCTGAATGCCTGGCTTGTATCTCAAGACTTAGAAGACATCTAGAGTTCTGTAAGTCACCTAAGTCTGTCAGCATTTTCTTCTGAATTAATTAACAAAGGTGTCTGGCCGACTAAAAATGGAGCGCACTCAGTTTTCCCTATGTATCTTCTCTAGAAATTCTGGAAGATGAAAATCCTCTACCCTTGTAAACCGTATTTTCCATTTGTCGGATCCGATCACATTTGAAGACAGAGAGTTAAATGCCATGCTCCTCTTCCCTCTGCTCTGACTTGTATATAACATCCCTGTTCTGGTTTGTAACCCCCCCTGCTCTGGGTAAAGGACCTATCTCAGAGCAGACTACGTATAATGGGAATCATGTAATTTCAAAACAGCAATCAAAAACATCTTCAAATATAAAATAGCTCTTCATTTTTTTCAGTTTACATCAACCATAATATAACTCAAATCACTCCTTTTTTCCTGATATATAAAACATTTTGATAAATCCATTTGAACTTAAATTATTCCAATGCACACTTTTATTTTTGGTTATATATTTAAGTCTTTTCTTCTCTGCATAGTGGTATTTCAGGATAGGAAATGAAATTATGCTAGTAATGCCATTTTAAAACAATTTCCTAAATTCTCCTATGCAAAAGTGCATCTACAATATAAACAGGCCACATATAAAGCTTCAAACTAGTCACACACTGTCGTGGATTTCAAATTCCAAGTTCTGTCCACATGAGTCAGAGAAGAGTGCTAGCAGAGCACATCTGGAACCAGTTCGTGGGGGCTGGGCAACGAGTCGTCAAAGCGGAATCTTTTGGAAACCACACTGCTATCCTCGGGGATGTTCTCTTTGTCTTCTCGATCCTCACAGGTGCCATTGCAGGAGGATTTCAAAGTCTTGTCTTCAGGGGACCTGGTCGTGTGATCCTGACCTTGAGGGGGACTGGACATTTCTTCGGGGAGGAGCAAGTTTCCAAAGTCCCATTGCTGTAGCCAAGAATGAGTGAGGCAGATCTCTGCTGTTGGTCTTTTCCTTTGAGAGAAAACATCAACGGAAAACTGAGAACTAAATAGCAGATTGGAAATGTCTGCAGTTCAGTGTATCATCAAGTTACATGTTATAAATATGAAAATAGCACGTATTCATAGTACAGAAGAGAGTAAGAATTGGAAACCCGAGTACCTAGCAATTTCTTTAATTCTGACATGTGCCAAAAATTCAATTTATCATGGAGCTTACAGATAAAACTATCTAGTCAAAAGCTTGAGAATGGATGTTCTCCTCACAAATAAAATTTAGTAAAATTTTAAAGTCTCGGGTTTATAGACCCTTTGAAGGAAAATATGATCTATTGTTATTTTGTTATTAAAAGCAGTCACTGCTAAGTCTTAAAAACAAAAGCTACTCTTCAATGATGCTTACATAATATTTTGAGTTTTTAAACGTTGCTTTCTATTATAAAAGTAATGTAAGTCAAATATCACAATCTTTCAAAAGTAAGAAAAATACCTATCCATCCCAGAACTCCAACCTTCACACAATCACATTACCATTAAAACCTGTTTCCTTAGTCTTTGTCTTCATGTTTTTTCCTAACTATAAAAAAATTAATGTGCTCACTATAGAAATTTTAGAATCTAGGATAAAAAAAACATTGAAGCAAATAAAAACTGTCTATAAACAGAAGCAAACAGTAGTGTGCTATTTCAACTGTCACGTCCAAAATACAGCCAGTGAGAACTTGTTTGGGCCAATAAAATAATTAACAAACCTAGGAGGGTTTTTTCTTAAACAGACAGGAGACTGAGTCCTCCTGAGATGAAATAATTACCAGAGATAAACGTCCTGACAGGTAATACCACCAGGATCGCAGCCCAGGGCACTAGACCACAGCTTCTGCAGTAAGGACAGCCAGGCCCTTTTAAAGTAAATACTGCTGGTCCTGGCAAACAAAAGGGAGGGCGCCTTTTCTTTTCCTGCCTTGAAGTTGCCAATGAGCGAGGACAGAGTCCTGAGCCATAGTTTCAAATCCCTTCTTCGGTAGGCGGTCAAAGAGCACCGATGATCCTTCAAGATCTGACCATCAGGCATTTATACTTGTTACATAACTATGATCATTTCACTACAAATCAATCAGCCATGTGTATTGTAAACCTTCTATTTCTAATTATTTTAGGGAATTTCAAGAATTAATGGCAGGTTGAGAGAAAAAGAGCCCAAATCTTCCTTTCACTCCAAAATTTCCTGTTTTGTATTTCATATTTTCCATGTTTGAAATTATGAATTTGTTATTTAATGATCTCTCATACCACCCCTTTCCCCATTTTACCCGAGAGCATACTTGTAATAGTGTTATACTATTTTAGAATGTATGCTTCTTAATAAACACAAATTATTTATTTTATAAATATAGTAAAAGATTAATGTTCTTACTTACTCTGGATTTTTTACTAAAAGACTCTGGATAAAGTCTGTGGCCAGCTGTGAAACTGATGAGAAAGTTTCCTCTGAATAATCTACATTAACTTGAGATATATTGAGGTATGTTTCTTGATTATCTTCTCCCACAAATGGGGATGTATGAGTTATTAACATATAGGCTATTATGCCAATATTCCTAAAAAAACAAAAAAGGGAGAAGAGGAATTTTAAATGTGTTAATCTTAAAACATTTATATAAAATAAAATTGATACTCAACATATATATATTCCTGTTTTCAACTTTACAGTTAAACTACAGACTTAAGTTGTTTTTCTAAGTTCCTATATTATTAAAACTAAAATAATAATCTCAAAATCTGCCTTACAGAAAAAGAATACGGGGGAAGTGCACGTGTCATGTATTTATAAATATATTAAATATGTATCATTATTCCTCCAGTCTTCCTTCACACAAACACATGCTACCAAGTACCGAAGCCACTCCAGACGGCATTTTCCCAATGGTGTCCAAGGACACAGTAACGATCCGTGAGGCATAAGCAGGGCTTTTGTGCAAACAGAGTCTGCAGGTTTGGCAAGGCATTAGGTTGGGCGGGTCGATTTTTTTACGACAAAACTTTTCAAAGCCTTAAATAAGTTAATGGCAAGTCTTGTGCTCAGGAGCCACAAAAAGAGAATATAGACAGTCTGCTTCACCTCTCCTTCAGCCACAGGATCCTTTTCCTCGGCAAACCCATCACAGCTCCACGAACCCAAATCTCCCCTAAACTCTTCCATGTGGCCTCAGTCAGAGCCACAGGGTGTGGCACAGCACTGTGGCTGGTCTGTTCCTTCACTGCATCTAGTCTTCCTCCAGGAAAGGGTTTTCCTGTTTATTTCTGTACCGCTGGTTCAGAGCTGAAGTGCTACTTAAAAGAATGGATAGATAAACACTTTCCTGTGGCATAATAATGACACTTGAGTAAAACCTTTTAAATAAAGCCTTATTATTTACCTTTAGAATAAAAAAAAACCCTAGAATATACACTACCCAACTTTTAATAAAGGCACTTAGGTAACTAACAAAATCTTACCACATATCTGTAGCTGTGGTAATAGGATCATAATTCAGGATTTCTGGAGCTGAAAGAAAAAATACAATTTAAAATTCAATACTGACAAATTTAAAATCATGAAAATTACATTAAGTTAAACTGGGTTTAATTTTAAAAAGCTATTAATAAGATCAATAGAAATTTAACATCACATTAATTATCCAACTTATCTAATGTTAAGCAAATTATGTAATAACATGATTCAAAAGCCCCCAATAACATTCTTTGGTATAACTGGTAGCTACACACACACACACACACACACATATATAAAATCATTTAGATTAATCCCAGAAAAAATAATTATGAAGCGTACAGTGTTAGAAGCTAGAATCTTCTTAAAACCTTATTCTATTACTCGTGGGAATCAGTCTGGGTTTTCACTAGACTGATTTAAGTTTCCTGCTCAGGGCAACAGCATCCATGCATCGTACAATGACACGAGGAGCAAACTGCTTCCTGGACGCACTCTAGGTTTCCAAGTCGGTGAAATATCCCCAATTTCCTACGCAATTAATTCCCCACTGTCTCTTCCCTGCCCATGCTTTTTAAAATGCAAAATAGATTATCTATACTTTTAAAACATTACCATAAATTTCAAATGAGTAGAGTACAAACTCAGACTTATGCTTGAATAGTAATTGTTTGGTTTCAGCGTGGTTTCCTAAGTTCTCCAAGAAAGATGGTTTCCAAAGCCCAGCAGTTTTGGTGATAAAGCCTCTGAGACCTGCCTATCATCAGCTGTCACTGCAGCACCTACAACCACTCCCTATGCTTTGGTAGCTGTGTTACTTAGAATTACAATAACGCCCTCTGGGCACTAGCCTCTGTTCACATCCAGAAGTTAGTCACCTAGGGAACCCAGCTGCCTGCTGAGAGCAACACCTGCTCTGCACAGTGCAATGCCTGCATGGGAGAGCGATACACGCGGAAATGGAAGAGATAGAAAGATTACTACCATAAACATAAAATTTTACATTACATGCTGCCTCATATAAACTTAAAAATCTTCATAGTCTTCTGTTGATCTAGCTGTCACACTTCTTTAAAATCCTTTTACAAACTGAGGCAAAATCAACAAACAACGAGGAGTCCTGCTACTGATTCCTGGAACTGAAGATTTCTGTATTGTCAACAGCATCAGAGCTGGGACAGGACAGAAAGAGAAGTGAGGGCTATCCAACTGCCGGCCTGAAGGGCAGTGACGGTCCACTTGATCTGTTTTCCCTTTTCCCTGCTCCCTAACTTTCCTTTTACCCAAACATTAAGCTTTTGAATTTATCTGCCTAATATGCTGTGGATTGTTGTGAATGTCTCAATAATCTAACATTCATTAAGTTCGTTCAAGTGTGTCATACCGAATTTCACTGTACTAAAATACCTGAGCCATATATACCCTGAAGTTACATGCTCTAAAATATATTATATAGAGGCGTCATTGAGTTAATAAATTTCAAAATGGTGTAGAAAATGATAGAAAATTCTTACCTAAGTATTCAGGTGTCCCCATGATTTCCCGGAGTTCACACGCATTTCCTAGTTTTCGAGACATTCCAAAATCTACAATTTTTATGTCCCCAAGAGGGTATATGCTGCTCAATAATATATTCTGTGGCTAACAAAGCACAACAAAAATATGATCAGTGATATACAGCAATAAAACACGACTAGTCTCCGATCAGAGGTCAATTAAGTGGGACGTACTGCTTATATATTTCACTGAGTCATTCATGAAACATTTACTAAACTACTATTTTTAGAAGGAGCTATAGATTCAATGATAAATAAAGTAAGAAATACACTCAGGATTCTTGGTTTGGGGAAAAAGATGCGTAGACTAATTAAATGATTATGATATAGAATACACAGTAATAAAGACTACTTAATTCTGCCCATAATAAAGCCCAGGAAGACTCTGCAGTAGAAATGATGCTTAAGCTGAATCCTAAAGAACACACAGGACATGCCAGTTACAAATGTGCCCTGGGGAATTGTATGAACGAAGGCTTGAGGGAATAACATGCATACATTTCCAGAAATAGAAAATGGTTGCGTACAGTATTATGGTCCTGGGTCTGACTATAGGTGAGACAATAAGCTGGATGGGAAAGTCTATGGAAGGGAAATTACATAGAAAGAACGCAGTGTCAAAAAATAAGATGCTGATGATTCTGATGTTGAGGTCCTCCAGTAGCTGTGGTGGAAGGATAAGGATAAAGACTAGTACCATGGGAGGCTGAAGTGGTGTCAGGGCTTGGGAAAGGGGCCTGAATGATCTGAGGGGAAGGAGGAGCAGAGGAGCAAAAGACTGAAAGCCTCAAGAGAAAGGCAAGTGTGAGGGAGCAAAGGAGTGAGGGTGAGAAGGAAGCTGCCTTCAGGGATGGGTCAGAAGTGAGGGTTTTAGAGGGAGGTGGTTCACAAGACAGGAAGATCAGGATGTCAGAGGAAGGTGGCGTGGGGTGACTTATGGGTGAGACCATGGAGAACGGCTGGTTTAAGAGCTCAGTGACCAATGTGAGCTGCTCACACATGCAGGCCTCTCCTCTGCCAACACAAGCTTAAGTGCACGCAGCACAAGGGAAACGGGAGCACACCAGTGCTGCCTGGACCGCAGATCTGACTGCTGCTTCCTGCCAGCCCAGCCTGCTACCGTGTAAACCCAGAGCAGAGAAGGAACAAGGAACAAGGGTAGTGGTACTTATAATTACATCTTACGTTACCTTTAAATCAAGGTGCACAATGTTATTCTGATGCAGATAACAAACTCCTTCAAGTATTTGTTTGATGAGTCTGATAATGTCACTTTCTGAGACCATTTCTGCCAGCTCAGGTAAACACAAGTTGAAAATTTCTCCACCTGCAGCACTGATATAAAATTCAAATAATAGAAACTTGAAAAATTATTGTTCTAAATATGACTCTCTTAAATACTATATCCCTGTAAAGTAAAAGGCACACAGCCATCTACATTTTAGTCTCTATATATACACATTTAGAGTAGAAGAGCGTGGGAGGGATCTTTAAGGAATAAAGTAGATGACTAGAGTATTTCAAATTATGGATACTAATATTTGAATATTTAACAAATTAAATTGCATTAGAACTCAAGAATAACTGCCTTAACTGCAATAAAAATAATAGCTGACACTAGGAGCTCAGTTCTGCTGCCCCTCCATTTTACTCATTTTTATTTAACTACAAATATCACCTATTTTGATCTTTATGACAATCTTGTGAGGTAGGTGGCTATTATTTCCATTTTACAGATGAAGAGACAAGTACAACGAGGATAAAGCAACCTGTACGTGGTCACACAGTAAATTGAGGGACCAGAATCTCAATCTGTATAAAATGGGTGAGAATCAATATTCTTCACCAACATCCTGTTTGGCAGCTTCACAAAGAATACTTAAAGCCAGAACCCAATTCTTTTATTTATATTTGTTTGTTTGTTTATTTATTTTTAAAGAATTGAACAGCCAAAGAATGTTGACAAAGGAATAGTGAAAAATCCCCACATCTGGAAATCACATAATTAAAATCCTAAATCTGTTATTTACAGAAATATAATTTAGGGCAGTCACTTATTTGAGCTCCCCATCAGTAAAACAGAGATATCACTTAACACAACAGATTTTATTTTTTTGAGGACTACCTCTAAATACTAAGATAAAAAGGTCTCAGTCAGAACATCATGCAAAAAAAAAATCTAGATGGTCAGTCATCAAATTTAAAAGGTATGTTTGGGAATATCTCAAGTAATGCATATCCTATCTAATAAAGATGGAATATGCAAATTGACGTGACAAAGATGGAGGTGGCCATGCCGGGCCACTTGTATCATCACCATGGTGACGACGCAGGTGTTCCACCCCACCCCGGCCACTCTGGGCCTCTGGACAGCGTGTGAGGGCAGAAGGCAGTAGCCAGAGAGAAGGCCCGGGTCCCAGGTGCCAGCATCCAGGGGAAGGAAAGCCTATTCTTGCACGAATCTTCATGCACCGGGCCTCTAGTTCTATGTAATAAAGCAGGAACTCACTCACTCTAGGAACCACTATTATTTTTATTTCTTTGCCTCACTGCTATATCCAGAGCATCGAGAAGTGTCTGACATGTAGAAATGTTTGTTGAATGAATGAATGCATGGATGGATGGATGGAGGATGGGTGGATGAATGGATGGATGGATGGAGGGTGAGTGGGTGGGTAGGTGGATGAAGGGTGAGTGGATGGGTGGGTAGGTGGATGAAGGGTGAGTGGATGGGTTAGTGGGTGGATGGATGGATGATGGAATAGGCAGTCATGCTTCAGAGCAGCTGAAACTGAAATTCAGACATCTCAGTGACTGCCAAGAAGAATAGCATGTCAATGTATTAGGAGCCATAAGAAAAAAATCAATGCTTGTCACAAATTTGAGTCTCACATTGAAAGTCACAGGATTGACCCTTAATGCTGCTGATGTAACTCACAATCGAGCCTTCTACACTGAGTGTGCCAGCAGCCAGGTGCCCGCGGGCAAAGGCTGCAGGGCTGCGCTGCTTTGCATTTTGTTGTAGAGTCCAAAGAACCCTGTGGGGCAGCTGGTAAGGAGCACATGTGAAGCTTGGATCATGTATACCCCATATATACCTCAACCCCCACCCCTCTGCATCTCTCAGAATGTTGATGGGAAATTAACTTTAATATCTGTCTTAGCTTTACATTGGTAAAGACAATCTGATTATGAAACATTTAGTTTGTTTTAAAATGTATAGTAGTGAACTCTACCCTATGTATTCCTGCAAAGACTGCACATAATACTAATGTGATGGTTAGCACATATGCCCGTTTTTCCTACTGTAACATGACTAAAAATTATCAATCCGATTTCAGTGGGTTGCTGCAAGTATTAAGTTAGATAAGTCGTAAACTACTGAATACAATAAGGATCAAAACAGATTATCAGTGTCTGACACATGATAAATATTAAATAAATATTCTTCATTATTCTAATGAGTAACAAATACCAGTTCCACATCTAGCCAACATCCAGCCTTTCTAGATGTGAGGCTTCTTGTTGACTATGAAGGCAATTTTCAAAAGTCTTTGCTAAATTAAAATTCAGTTTTAGAAACACTGCATCATACATATGAAAGTATATATAATATATTCTTAAGTGAACAAAGAAGGTTACAATGGAGTATGCCCAATCAATCACAATTTGTTTCTAAAGGTAAATACGCATAGACTGAAAATTAAGAATAATTTTTAAATATAGGAATATGCCATAAAAGTAAACATAGTTTACATGATACTCATTTTCTATATCTTCTAAATTTAACACAGTAAGTTATTACTTTTATAACCAGGGAAACTATCCTTCCATTTTTTTGTTTGCTTATTTCAGTAACAAAATCAAACAAATATTATGATGTCAGCCTATCAGACTGTCTCTTCCTTTCAGTTTGGCAAGCTGACCAATGTCTGTGGTAGGACTACCATTTTCCCCACAAAAGAGATACACAGGTGGAGCCACAGAAATAGAAAGTGAGCCAGAGTTAAGGAGAAAGAAAAAAAACAGATAACTTAAGAAGCAGATTGCAGAAGTTAGCAGAAACTGGATGAATACTTTGACATGTAAAGGACTATCAATACACCCACAAATTTTAAATGGTTCGGTTAATGTGGCAAGATGTCAACAATTGGTGAATCAAGCTGAAGAGTAGTGTTAATTCTTTCAACTTCTTTGTAGATTTGAAGTTTAAGTCCTAATATGTCAAAACTTTTGATGCATTTTATTGTTGCTATTTAGATTAGCAGTTGCCAACTGGTGGTCTGTGAGGTCCCAAAGGTTGGCTATGCTGATTTAGATGATTGAAAAAAGAAGGTTTTACGAAAGCTAACAATGTTCCTTTGTGTATTCATCCTCCAAGCCTGAAATTCCATAACTGTTTTTGAAAAAATGTCAGCTACTTTTCACATAGTCAAACATGCAGATGCCATGTAAGTAGATAACTTTTTAAAGGTCAGCTGAAGAATCTGACATACGTATGTAATCACAAAGATGCATTAACAATGAAATCATACTGGTAGTATCCTAGGCTCTTCTGCTATTTAATTAGTTTTAGTGTCTGTGGGGCTGTTCTTTTAGCCTTGTGAAAGTAGATGAATATAAACTATCTATGTTCCTGTAATAGCTTATCAGCAGGAATGCTAACAAGATCTTGTCATATCTTTATCATTCTTGTCTTGATATTTCAAGTCACCCTATCCCACCAATGAAGGAGGTACTATAAATTTACTTAAATTTACTAGAGTATATACTTACTATTCCAATACCAAAATGATTTCACTTGTGTTTTCATAGACTTCATGGAGATTGATCACATGGGGACAGGACCTGGCCAATTCAAGCACGGCAATCTCGTGCAGAATCTCTGCGCGGCAATCCTGGCCTCTCCTTCGCTTCTTTAGAAACTTTGCAGCATACTCCTGGCCGGTTGATTTTGATATACACTGTCTAACCACAGCGAACTTTCCCCTGGGGAGGAAAGGACAAGCAATTTTAATTTTTCTATGAAGAACAATATTAGTACAGCACAAACACTGCTATACCTCCAACTCAGAATCAGCCTTTTCAAAAAATCATGCCATGAAATTTATCTTTTTTCTCTTAAACAGCTGCATGTACTTTATAAAAGTCTAGCATTACCACATAAGAAGAAAGAGGGCAAAAGTCGCAGTAGGATGACAGAATTACATTTGTTCTTCCCTGGTCAAGCATGGTCATTGTATACCACTCCACGCAACACTCGCCACATAAATTACGTTTCATACACACAACCCTATAGTGACTGCTGCTCTGCTTTGCAGGCTCCAGAGAGGCTATGTATCTTAATCTATTCCCAAAATCCAGGCCCTTCATAGCTGTAACTCTAATCAAAAAGGCTTTCCCTCAAATACAATCAAGACGAACACAAAAATTGGTACTTGACATTTAATTTTACTAGTGCAATCACTTTGCCTTTCAACACCACTTTTAACAAGCTTTGAAGCTTCCTATCACAATTTGTCAGTTGTATTACCAGTAAATCTCTTAGTATTGCTCAGTAGTCTATGAAGCCTGTAACAGGTATCAAAGGTATATATGTCCTTTGGAGAGAACTAAAGGCAGTTCCCTTTCTACTAAGAAATTAATGGTTATCAACAGCTATGTACAAATACACCCCTTACCGTCATGTGTGTCATTTTAGGAATAAGTATGCGTTTAGCTCTCTCCAATACAAGTGCTCAGCATCTCAGCCAAAATTTAAAGACAGAGGCAAATTGTATATTCTTAGCCTATAGTTGCTAAAAATCTAGTTACCTAAAGACCTGATGCTATTTTGAGTAATACTACTTTAGGTGACTAATAAAAGCTACTAACTGCCTATCCAGAAAAACGTACATGTGCCCTTAAATAGAAAGTTTTTATATAATTTCAGAGGGGTTTCAGAGTTCAAAGCCCATTCATACAACCTCTAAACCTGAGGACAAGAAATCCAAAATTAAGGAGCTCGCTGAAACCGGTTTGGCTCAGTGGTAGAGCGTCGGTCTGCGGACTGAAAGGTCCCAGGTTTGATTCCGGTAAAGGGCATGTACATTGGTTGTGGGCACATTCCCGGTAGGGGGTGTGCAAGAAGCAGCTGGTTGGTGTTTCTCTCTCATTGACGTTTCTAGCTCTCTATCTCTCTCCCTTTCTCTCTGTAAAAAAATCAATAAAATATATTTTAAAAAAATTAAGGAGCTCTATCCTACAATTAAAATTATTCTCTAGATACTAACAAGTCAAGTACAAATAAAGGTCCTGCAGAGAGTAACCTGTGACTCACCACTCCTCTTGTCCCAATTCCCCTTACATATATATATTGTAACACAGAATGCACGTGCTTCTCAAGGAAGGCTCTGTAATTCATCTGGCCTTTGGGTTTGGGGTGGGGCCAAAATATATTATTTGATTTTCTTTTATGTACTCTTCTCAAGGACCAGGATGACAAAGATTCCTCCTCTTTATTTCCCAAACTTCCTCCAAATTGATGCCAATGAAATACACTGGAAATCACACTGAAAAACTTTGGCTACTATTGCCAAAAAAAGTAACTAAGCTATAATTTGCCTATTCTACATTTTTCAAGATATGTCAACTCAATAAATCTGCATGGACAAACCTGATTCTTTGAGAGAACTTTTTCATTTATTCTTTGAGGATGCTTAATTTTAACTACAATATATTTTCTTGTCGGAGAATGAAGATGGAGGCATAGGTAAACACCTATACTTGCTGCCTCTTATAACCACTTCAAAATTACAACTAAAAGGCAGAACCACCCTAGCCAGCTTGGCTCAGTGGATTGAGTGTTGACCTACAGACTGGGTCCCAGGTTTGATTCCAGTCAAGAGCATGTACCTGGGTTGAGGGCTCAGTCCCCAAGGGGAAACGTGTGGGAGGCAGCCAATCAATGATTCTCTCTCATCATTGATGTTTCTATCTCTCCTTCTCCCTTCCTCTCTGAAATCAATAAAGAAATATATATATATTTTTTAATTAAAAAAGGCAGAACCACGGGAAAGCCAAGAGGAAGTTCCACAACTAGTGAGGTGAGAAAGTGCAATGAGACTGGTAAGAGGTTCGGAGGTGTGGGAAGTGCTGGAACCTGGATGTGCTGCTCTTTTCATCAGGAGGGAGATACAAGCTCCCGCTTGCTCTGAATTCCAATTCTGGGCGAGATTCTGGGGAACCCAGACACATACGGGGAGAAATTGAACTGTCTGGCATCGGGACAGGAACATGGGGGAGGCTTTCTCTCAGAGGTGCTCGCAGTGATCATTGTTCTGAGGGATGCAGAGACCCGGGGACCTCTCCAGTACAGGGCTGACCTCTCTGGTGCAGGGCTGACTGGCAGCCATTGCTGTTTGCTCCACCCTGATGATTCCCAGAGACCCCACCCGACCCAATTTAAAACCTCACCCCAGCTGTGTGCAGCGGCTTTTGCATATGAATGGCCTGTCCTTTCTCCACCTACAACCTGTCAAACTGCAGCTGAGTCAGAGAGCCCCAGAGTTTCCAAAAGAAGGCCCAAGGCCTGGCAGCAGCAGCCTGCTTGGCTTCCCAGCTGGGCCTCATTGGGGCACTTCCAAACCTCAAACAAAGAGGAGGAATCTGCAGATGTCTCTGTAACTCCCACTGGGTGGCTTCAGGCAGTGGCTGACCTTGTACCTCCTTGGAAATCCAAGAGCCAGTGTACCCAATGGTCAGTGTGAGATCATACCAGATTACATCCATAAGAAACACACTCAAAGGGCAGACTCAGTGAGCACCAAAGCTCCACTGAAGCAAGTCTTGCCCCATAAGGGTGTCTCCTGCAAAACAGATCTTCCAGTGTAGACACAGCTGGTCATCACAGCCAATTGGCATGGAGGTCAATTCCTCCCAGTGACACTAACAGCAATCAAGGCTTAACTACAAGAAGACTGTGCACACAGTCCACAAAGGGGTGTACCAAGAGCGTCCACCTCAGGTGAATGGGGAGGCTGAGCCACTGGGCCCTATAGGACACCTAGCACACAAGGCCACTCGATCAACTCAAGGAGACTTAGCAGCTACTCAGTACATAGAAAAAAACACAGGGAAGCAGCCAAAATGTGGAGACAAAGAAACAAGTCACAAATGAAAGAAATGGAAGAAAGCAAAATACTGGATATAGAGTTCAAATCCACAGTTATAAGGCTACTCAAGAATCTTCTAGAAACCTCCAAGAAATTTAGTGAGACCTTCAAGGATATGGAAAAGGACCAATCCAAAATTAAGCATACAATGACTGAAATAAAGAATAATATACAGAGATTCAACAGCAGACTAGAGGATCCCAAGAATCAAGTCAAAGCTTTGAAATACGAAGAAGCAAAAAATACCTGACCGGAAAAGCAAAAGAAAAAAGAATCCAAAAATATGAAGATAGAGTAAGGAGCCTCTGAGACAACTTCAAGTGTACCAACATCCGAATTATGGGGTTGCCAGAAGAAGAGAGAGAGCTAGATACTGAAAACCTATTTGAAGAAATAATTACAGAAAACTTCCCCTACCTAGTGAAACAAATAGACTTACAAGTCCAGGAAGAGCAGAGAACCCCAAACAAAAGGAATACACCTAGACACATCATAATTAAAATGCCAAGGGCAAAAGAGAAAGAGAGAATCTTAAAAGCAGCAAGAGAAAAACAGTTAGTTACTTACAAGGGAGCACCCATACGACTGTCAGCTGATTTCTCAACAGAACCTATTCAGGCCAGAAGGCAGTGGCAAGAAATATTCAAAGTGATGAATAGCAAAAACCTACAACCAAGATTACTCTACCCAGCAAAGCTATCATTTAGAATTGAAGGTCAGATAGAGAGCTTCACAGATAAGAAAAAGCTAAAGGAGTTCATCACTGCCAAACAAGTATTATATGAAATGCTGAAGGGTATTCTTTAAGAAGAGGAAGAAGAAGAAAAAGGTAAAGATAAAAATTATGAACAACAAATACATATCTATCAACAAGTGAATCTAAAAATCAAATGAATAAAAAACCTGATGAACAGAACAAATTGATGAATGTAATAGAATCAGGGGCATGGAAACAGAGCAGATTGACAATTCTCAGTGGGAAGGGGCTGGGGGAGGGTGTGGGAAGAGAATGAACAAAGAGCTTATACCTATGGATGAGGTCAGTGTTGGGGGGTGAGGAGAAGGGTTGGAGTGGGATGGGAACTGGGTGGAGGGCAGCTATGAGGAAAATAGAGGAACATCTGTAATAATCTGAACAATAAAGACTTAAAAAAGATATTTTCTTACTATATGTAAGAAAATACAAATTGATGCATTTCAATGAACACAAAAAGTTAATAATTTCCTTAACTTTCTTTCAAACCACTTGTATTTTATAGATTTTATACCAAATAAACTGAGTCAGACTAATATTAAATGACTCATGAAAGGTCATACATGGGATCGGATTGCCAAGAATTACACTGTGGAATGTGAATCCCTGGCTTTCTGTTCTAACCACTACAAAACAATTCCTCCTTTTAAGACAGCTGTTTTTTTAATAAGTGCAACTCACACACTTCTGCCAATTCTTTCTTAGGTTTAGAAACAAAATTTATCTAAAACAGAATGGAAATTTTAAGTATTATGAAGAAATCCATTTGGGAAACAGAAATAGTAGGCCAAGCAAATTGTCCACATATTTTAGAGCCCTTATTCAGTTCAACTATAATTTTATGAATGTATCTATAAGCCAAGATTTTCTCAAAAACAAATAACAAAATTAAATAGTTTTTATCAAATTGTTTCAGGCATTCTAAATAGCTTTTTAAAGCAAGTTTAGTTGTCAGCAAAGGTGACAAAATGATATTGATAATTATTTATTTGCCAGTGCTCACTACTAAGGAAAGGCCCAGTGAAGGCAGAGACCCTATCTGTCCTAGTTACTACAGTAATTATAAAATCTCCATCAGCTAACTAACACATAATAGAAACTAAAATATCTGTTGAATAAATGCAAAAGGTAAGCCACTACTTAACCAAAGAGTATGCTATTTCGGATCCTGTGCTTAAAGCATTTACATTTTTTAAAGCTTATTTTAGATTCCAATAAAATTTTACTTATAGTCACTACATTATTTACATATCATTAAAGAAGGTTAGTATTTTTATCATATGACTTAGAAAAAAAAAGTATTTGATTTCTATTCTAAAATGTTAATTGTGGTTTAGAACTATTAAAATAAACTTCTATACATAATATTCCTCCATCAAATACAACAAAAACTAAGAAAATGTAAAACCCACACCAAGTATATGTAATTAATTCATACCCTAAAAAGGCAAATCTGACTAGATTTCCCAGCAGCGACAAGGTCTAGTAGCTCCCCTCTGCATTCTAGAATAGACAATAAAATGTGAGAGGAGGGGGAGGGCGACCACAGAGGAAGCAGACGTTTATTTCGGCATTGGCCTCACCCTCTGACCACAGAGGCCTGTGAAACTTGCCTCAGTTGGGGGGAGGGTAGAAAAAACTTACCCAATGTGTTAAAAAACAGGAACAACACAAAGAGCTTTGAGAATAGTCAAAATTAAACTATTAACATTTGCATGTTATTTTAGTTTGCTAAAGAAATAAGATTATAATGCTAATTTCTATTAATTAGGATTATAATCCTAATTAAAATTGGTAATGATATTAAAAGAACTTAGTCCTGGCCTGTGTGGTCAAGGTTCAATTTCCAGTCAAGGACACATACCTAGGTTACAGGTTCTACCCCCAGGCCTCCTAGAGGTACCTGAAGAAGGCAACCAATCTAGGTGTCTCTCTCACATCTCTCTCTCCCTCCCTCCTTAACCCTCCTCCTTCATCCCTTCCAGTCTCTCTTAAAAAATATTCACAATCGATGGAAAAAAATATCCTCGGGTAAGGATTAACAACAACAAAATTAAAACAAGTTCTTGGCAGAGGAAATGACATGATTTCCAACTTATCAAGGTTTACTAGATAGATCAATATTTACCATATCAATCTTAAAAAATGCTAGGTTTCTTTCATAAAGATATTAGAAGATGAAATATTAGAAACCTGAATTTGTTTTAATTAGATTCTTTCAAGAGTTTTTGCTCTAAAATGTTAAAGAGTAGATCTGATTCAAGTTCATGCTTTTTTTGATGGCATCTTATTTGTAAAACAATTGAGAATTAATAATACTGTCCTCTACAAAGTTTAATTTTTCATCAAAGAAATAAATTTTAGAATTTCTAGCTCCTAAGTCCCCTATTTTGTGAATTTAATAAATGTATGTACATTTACTCATTAAAATAGTAACTCAGAAAAACAGAAAAGAATGCCCTTTATTGTATGTACTGTTCAAAGCAGAGTTACCTACTCAAAGAAGTTTCCAAACATTTTTGCAACAGAAGGAAGATTGGAGACATCTAGTCCAACCTCTCATCTTCAAGAAAAGGAAATCACACAACTAAGTAGATTACACAACTTTAGACAACTTTAGGTTCAGAGTAAAAATAGGTCAACTGACTTCCACTTTCATTTGTTTTTACAAATATACAGAAGGATGCCATATGACATATATTTGATATGGCTGCTAAAAAAAAAAGAAAGAAAACTCCTAATGGAATCTTAGGCTCCTCAAGTAAAGTTGTTTTCTATTGTAGATGGTAAGATACTGACAATACTATGTGCAGCCCAAGTCTCCTTATTATCAGACGAACAATGAAAACAACAAGTGGTTCAGAATCAGGCTATCTGGAGCTGAGGTCTCAGATGAGCCTCTAAGGAACCCGGCAGTGCTTGGCCAGAGTCAAATCTCTGGAGGCTTTTCACAGGGACATGATAAGCAGCTGCAAAGGGAACCGTGCCTCCTGCAGATGCGGACAGAGAAAGCAGAACCAGTGTGCCCAGGAAGTGCTCACAAAAAGGAACAGGTCTTCTGAGGTTCTGAGTTCCCCATCACTGAAGCAGTCACAGTGAAGCTGTATAAACAGCTTGTCAAGAAAATCATAGAAAAGCCTGCTGCGCTGCATAAAAAATTACATTAGGAGATTAACTGACCACCGACGTCCTTATCATCCAAGGGTTCTATGACACTGACATATGAGATATAAGTCACCACAAGGAAACGTGTGCTTCCCTGTGACAATGCAGAGAAATCATAGCTTCAGAGCAAAACCATTTTTTAAAACATTCTGAAAGGTTTTAAAAACTATATCTTTTAATACACCACTGAAGGACTCATACAGTTTAACATATAATTAAGTAAATATGCCAGAAGTATGAAATATGAAACATGTAGTTCTTAGTCTGCTGACGGAGATAGCATCCTCACTTTGCAAAACAAAGACGGCACCCGATGTCCATCTGAAACATGATTCCACCAATTTTTGTTTTCACATTGAAATTAAGTAAAAACCAATTGCACTATTTTATTGTAAATTTATCAATGCAAATACAGACTAGTAAACCATTTTAACAGAAGCCAAAACACTGCCGCCAAAGCTAAAATCACACTGAGGACAGAAGCCGATCACCATTTTCTCACCCTTTGTTAAGTGCTTTAAAGCTCAACAGATACTGAATATATAACTTACCTTGGTATGTCTTTTATAATTTGGATAAATGTTAAAATGATACACTAATGGTATTAAAATCTCAGATCATTAAGGAATTTACACCTTGGTTAAGTCAAAACAGATCAGTATTAGTGTAAGTACAGGTTTTACTGATAGAACAAACATTCTTTTTTATACAGAATTCTAATATCAAATATGAGTTAATTTTTTTTGTTTAATTTAGGAAAGAAGGGGAGAATCTAAACATCATTTTTTAAGCCCAAACACAATATCCTAGGAATTTTTTTTTTTTTTACAAAAACTTATCTAGCACTACTATTATAAGTGTTTTATAAATATTAACTAACGTAGTCCTCACGACCACCATATAAGATTTACAGTTATCTTCACCCCATTTCTCAGATGATCTACAGCACCAAGAGGGACAGTCATTTCACTGAGGTCAAGAGGCTGAGCTGCCGCTGCCATGGTCCCCTCAGCTGACAACCTAAGTTGGGGGACACAGCAGACATCACTGCTCACTAACCCTGCCGCCAGTAAACCGGGGCCTGTATGGTAACACAGAGATGATGTCTTTTCCTTCTAATCCCTGATAAATAATGACTGAGTTTTATGTAACAGACACACACAAATCCAAACTGTGAATTTAAACCGCATACATATCACACAATTTCCTTACCTTCCTAGCTCTTTAGATGTCAGTGTATAAAAATTATTAAAGTTTTCCATTTTCATTGGTGTTTGAGGAGTTGTAGTTAGCAAGCCTGAAACACTTCGGCAATCAAATCTTCTCCTCGACATGTTGGATGGCGTCCAGATATGCTTTTTCAGTCACTTCTTACCTATTTTTTTAAAAAAAGAGAAGAGACAGGATATAACTTCAGTGTAGCTCAGGGGAAAAAATGATATCTCAGACAGGATGTGCATTACATTATCAGCTCCAAATATAGCTATAAGCAACCAAAAAGATTTAAAGAGCACATTCTTCCCACCAAGAAAAAAATGCACACACAGAAACTGGTATGGAACTTGAACTATGTTACTGACTTCATTCAGAATAAAACTACTGTAAAACAAAACAAAACAAAACAAAAAAACAACCTGTAGCCCTAGCTGGTTTGGCTCAGTGGATAGAGCATTAGCCTGCAGACTGAAGGGTCCTGGGTTCGATTCTGGTTGTGGGCTCAATTCCCAGTAGTGGGCGTGCAGCTGATCTATGATTCTCTCTCATCACTGATGTTTCTGTCTTTCTCCCTCTCCCTTCCTTTCTGAAATCAATTATTTTTAAAAAGTTATTAATTTAATACAAGCAATCACTCAATTTCATTTTGAAACTCATTTTTTAAAGTGTAATCTTCATAAAACAAGGTAATTTATTATAGCTAAATAAGGATTATTGTTTTTAAATTTAATTTCACATGGCCAAACAAACTTGGTGGTGAATTCACCTTTTGTGCGTTATATTACTGACATCTGAATGACTATAAGAAGCAGAATTTGTTTCATAGACTCTACAATTCAATACTAAATTCAGAAACTTTCATAGGTCGTTTAAGAGTGTCTTTTCTTGGCAGCATCAGGCACAGAGCCTGCCATGTAAGAAGAGCTCTATAATTTTGTTGGATGAGTGTCTGACCATACTGGAGTTCTCATCCACATCTGAAGTTCAGATTTACCTAGAACTTTGTGGTATTTACATGTATTCAGTTTTAACATCACAGCTACTATTTCATAGTAATGGATCTCACACAACAGCAGACTATATATTTTAAGATACTTCTCACTTTCTGCTATGCCTATCTGATAAAAGAGCAGTATTATTCTCCTAACACCCTCTATAATAACCTCCTAGGCTTTTGTCCTTTCTCTGCCACATTTTTCCTTTCCTTATTTCTTATTTGACATGTACTGTTTCTTTTCCTTCCTAGATGCAAATGCCAGCTACATTCAGCTTTAGCAAAGAAGCAGTGTGATTGAGGTGTTTTCAACTTCTATATTTTCTCAGTTTTATTCTTAAGTCAGACATTTTTTCTCTCATTCTCTTGGTCTTTGGGAAAACAAACATTAGCTGGTTTGGGGGTACACCACTAGTAGTCTAAGAGCAACAGCGTAGCATTCTGAAATAACATTTGGACTGAATCACATCTGAGTTTGAATCCCATTTATCCCTCACACCAGCAATGAGATCTTAGCTTGATTATTTAACTTTGTTATTACTGTTATGGGCTGAATTATGCTCCCCTCAAAATTCAGATGTTGAGCTCCTAACCCCCAGGACCTCGGAAAGTACTGTGCTTGGAGTCGGGCCTTTGACAAGGAGGCTAAGCTAACGTGAGATCATTAGGGGGGCCCCACCCAGTGGGACACAGAGGAGTCAGGACACAGATGCACAGAGGGAAGACCCTGTGAGCACACAGGGAGGCGCCATGGGAAACCAAACAGAAAGGCCTCAGCAGACAGAGCCCTGTCCACACTGAGCTCAAGCTTCTTCTCTCCAGAACTGTGGAAACAATACATTCATGTTGCTTAAATCACTCAACCTGCCAAACTTTATTATGGCAGCCTGGTAAACTGTGTTAATACAACTTCTTTTAAAAATAAGAAATAAGTGTTTCCAATAAACATCACAACACTTGCTCTCCAACATTATTATTTTGCCATATTGTGTTTAAGTTGATAAATGAGACATCGCAGACCCAGCTGAAGAAATCCCTTCTTTGCATCCCTCATTTGCATTCCCACTGCCACTGGGTGGGAGGGCTTACCATTTCTTTGCCAACATTTGCCCTATTTGAAGTTTTAATTGTGGTGATTCTGGAATAATGAAGGTGAAAAGGAACTTGGTAATTTATTTTGTATTTCTGATTACTAGTGAGGAATGTTTCAATCCTGCTGCTTCTAAAGTACGGATGGTAACAGAATTTATCTTACATAGCTCTAAAGATTAAAAATTAAAATATGATGAACTCATGTAGAATGACATTGGTACAGAGCCAGTCCTGAGACTGTATCATGATTGTCCGATACATATATATTGTTAATATTCTAGCCAAAGATAGTCTCTATACAGTCTCTGCCATTGTTGAGTATCGTTTCCTATACAAAACTCTCACCCCAAGTTAGCTTAAACTTGATTCTTAGAATTCTGTCTTTCTAAATTCTGTTTTAATAAACTATTTGTGTTGATTTTTTAGTTCTGATAACACTGAATTTCACAGGTACATATTCCTCTCTTAAAAAAGTCAATAATTATTAATTCCTATGCTCAACCTATTTAAGTCACCATATTTTTACAAAGTTTTTTCTAAATTTAAAAGTCTATGTGGGTCCTAGCTAGTCTGGCTCAGTGGCTAGAGCCTGTGGACTGAAGGGTGCCAGGTTCAAGGGCACATGCCCAGGTTACATGCTTGAACCCCAGTTGGGGACATGCAGGAGGCAGTCAAGCAGTGCTTTTCTCTCATCATTGATGTCTCTCTCTCTCTCTCCCTTCCTCTCTGAAATTAATTTAAAAAAAAAATGTTTTTAAGTCTATGTGAAATCTAAAGAACAAAAGAAACAAACAAAACGAAAACAGACTCAAAGGTATGGAGAACAGACTGCTGATTGCCATAGAGGAGGGGGGTTGGGGAACCGTGTGAGAAAAGTGAAGAGATGAAGAAGTACTAAGTGGTAGTTACAAAACAGTCATGAGGAAGTCAAGTACAGCATAGAGAATAACAGACAATAATATTGTAATAACTATGGATGGTACAGGTGGGTACTGGAAGTATTGGGGAAGTACTCTGTAAAGTATATGATTGTCTAACCACTACACTATACACCTAAAACATACAAAATACTACTGAATGTAAACTCTAGTTTAAAAATAAAATTTTAAAAATAATTTTTAAAAGTCCATGAATATGCACACTTATGATCACATTTATGCCACACACACACACACACACACACACACACACAGAGAGAAAGAAAACATGTACCTGTATTATGGATACAAATTAGCTACATTCCCCACAGTCAGGACTTGGGAAACAGGAGGACAAGAACATATCACATTCAACCACAGAGACAGAATACAGGGTCCTGAGTCTAGAATGTGCACCTAATCTAAATTCTAGAATCTAAGATGGCTATTTCATGCTGTAATATATCAACTTCAAAGTAATCTATTCATAAGGAATTTGGTTGAATTATTAAGATATACAAATAAGTATTTTCTGCTCTCAAGTTTAAAAAATATCAATATGGATCTTAGAGGTAGTAAAAAAAATTATATTCAATGAAGCTTTATAATTGTGAGGGGGAAAAAGAAACATGTGGAATGAATGAACTCCAAAGTCCAACAATAGGAAATGGTTAAATACACCTAAATAATAGGATATTATATACTCAAAAATTGTGCTTTCAAAGAATCTTTTATACTCAAATTATAAAGTGAAAAAAGGAAGACATAAAACTTTATAAACAATATGATAATTTTGTGGGAAAATACAAAAGCAAATAGCAGAAGACTGGAAAACAATGGCAAAATGTTAACAGTAGTTATCTTTGGGTGGTGGGATTATGGCACTATTTATACCTTCCGGTGTTTAAGTTATTTACACTAAGCAGATTCTACTTTAACAATTAATAAAAGATTAATAAATACCTTTGGGTAAAACAGATAGATGTACTGGTATATATATCTGACTGGATTCTATGTGCAGAAACACATTTGCAACAGCAAAACACAACTTTTTATACATTATGGGTTTACTTGGCTAGAAGTTCAAGAGCCATTCCTACTCCAGTTTTTTAAGACCTCAGTGTTTTCTGTGCATTTCTCAAACCTATTTCCAAAGATTTTTTTCATTATCCCCATTTTAATAATTACAATACACATTCAGATATGGATCAGGGATTGAAGGAACAGAAGGAAATGCTAGACTTGATCTGAGCCTTACCTTGCTTTAAAAGGAGAAAGCAAGTGTGATGTGATCAAAGTAAGACAATTCCTATAAGTCTCTAAATAGCTCTATTTTAAAAATATTCATCATAATATTCATTCCAAACTTATCAAACAAAAATGTTTCATAGAACTAGGCTATTTCTACAATAAATGAGAACTCCTAGAGAACTAAATGGCCTGCTTTGATCTCTTCATTAGCTTCCCGGCACCTACAAGCGATCGAGTCCTGACACATGACACAGAGGCTGAGCAGGTGCACCAGCTTCATTTCCTGCCACACTCATGTCTCAGAGTGTGGCTCCACATCTCTGTTATACTTCCCTGCCTGAAACAGCCTTTACCTTTCCTTAAAGGGCTAACTTTCCTTATGCATCCTTCACATTTCAACATAAAATGTGATCTCCCCCCTCTCTGGGAAGCTTTGACATTGTTAAAACCAAAAAAAGTTGGGTTAAGTGCCTCTCCTTTATGCTTCAAACAGGACCCTTAACATATCTCTACCTCAATACCTAACATGTTAGATTTCAATTATGTTTAGTGTCTAAAGGGCAATAACCACTTACTTTTGTGCTAAACTCGCAGCATGGTGTCTGGCACCTGGTAGGAATTTTCAAAATGTTTGATGAACTGAATTATAAGATTTATGGGGGGGAAAAAGCATTTTTAGATACATCTCAAATCATCAAGAGTTGTGCAGAATTTGAGATATATCTTGAAATTAATAGTATTGGAGTTCTAAATGCAGCTAGTCTCTGCTTAATTTGGTATTTGGCTAAATAAAATAAGATGTTTTAAATTGCTACTAGAGAATTTCAATTCTAAACAAGATGGCCACAAAATATGAAAATTTAGATAAGATCATTTCATCAGATATTGTACTGTAATACCAACAGACCATTTATTTTGTATTTTCCTGCCTTTCCAGACTAGGTGGCCACCTGGTTTCATGTAAATATCTACTTCAGCTAAGATAACATTTTAAGAGCTACCTCAATCAGGAAATTAATTCAGACACTGCCCTGGTAAGGACTGCTCAATCTAGATTTTCCTGAAATAAATATGAATGGCAATGGAAAGCAAAGTGAGGCACAAGATTATGAGGAAACAACTCCTTTCTGCATGGGCTTTTACAGCTACAAAGCTTTCCTTAGGAATCAGAGAAACTGGAGATCTGTTTATCCAGCATCCGTCCAAATAAACACGGATCTTTCTGCTAGAGTGGCAGACAGCTCCATTTTTGATTAGTCATTGATTAGAAGTAAATGTAATGCAGTAGACATAAGAATAAGGATGATTTCCAATTTCAAGACACTATATTCTTTATGTATTCTACTAACATATTTTGGGGTTTTTTTTAATTGAATATAAAGAATAATTCAAGAATTTAATCATTTGAGAATCATAAGAGCAAGCCAGTTAGCTGACTCTAGTTCAAGCAGTCTATTATATACACTACCCAAGGGCTGAAGTCCCCAGTAAGGACCGCATCCAATCCTGTGCCAGCACAGTAAGGCCTGGTGCCATCTCTTCAACTTTCAGAAGAATCAAACCTATAATTGTGAAATAGTATAGGAAGATTTTGCAAAACGGAAATGTAGTGGGCCAACACATACACACTGCTTGCCATTCATCAGATGAAAAATTAAGTTTCTGTTGTAAAAAAAAATACTGCTTACTTATAGTATTCCTGAAATAGTTTATTCCATAACTATTCCAATGCAAAATGGAATATGATCATTTGAAGATTAAAGATAAAATTACCACCTATTAATATAAAATTTTTAAGTGATTAAAGTATTACTTCGCCCTCTTTTGGGGAAGAAGTTGCAAAGAGTCAGGGGTGCACCAAAATACCTATGCTGCATATAAATATTAAAAGAAACTGACCAGTTTAGATGTTAAAATTCAAGGGTAAATGTATTTGGGAGAAAAAAAGTGTAAATAAATGAAAGAAAAAAATTAACAAAATATATCTTGAAAATTGCATTTTTCACAACGTATTTAAATAAAAATGTGTAATTTAAATTTATAAGTAAATTTGTTAATTAAAATATTTAAAGAAATGTGCTTTAATTATAGTCTACATAAAATATATACCACTTAAAGTTACATCATTGAATTTTGTTATTCACACTGTGGAAAACTAAAATATTTAAAGTTTTCCCAAGTGAAAAGGAAGTACATAAATTACTGTTAATGTTTCCATCACAATCAATACCCTTAGGATGCAAAATAATTCTTTAAAAAATTAAGAATCAAGCAAAATCCTTTAAAAGCAGAAAATCTAAAAGCACTATTAACTGCACATTTTATACACAGGAAATATACTCTACAATACAATCTATTGCAATATCATGACAATTTTATGATTAAGTGAAAGTGTTAGCAATGGATTTCCTTGATTCCTGAGTTTTAAATTGGGCTCAAATATTAAAACAGGAAAATTTTGATAAGGAAATTCTCTCATAATTATCAAACAGCTGTTAAAATTCGTTTACTTAGTGGTAAAACACTGTTAGTACAAGCTTAAAAATATATTCGTTTGATTAGAAGCAACCACAAATGCCTGTATCTTCTTCAGCCTTGTTATTAGTGTGCTGACAGTGATCAATTAGTCAAGCCTCAACTTTCCTTAAAAACTGATTCTATCTTAACCAAACTATAACTCACTATTCCACGAGCCCAAGAAAAATGGCAACCATACTGTGTGCACACAAAAAGGCCTTCAAGTTATCACACAAATCTTACTTTTAAAATTCAAGTATGCTGCCATGTAAGTATATTTCACTTCAATCCCATCATTTAAAAAATATATCTAAAATGTGTATGTATCTCAAAAATAACGCAGCTACTGATAAGAACTCCATTTCTTAAAATATCGGAATTTTTTTTTTAATGTAACATCTGCTCAGAAGAGAACGAAGGGGGAGGGGGGAGGAGCACACGGTTCCCATGGCCGGCCTTTTAAAAAAACACACACAGTGCTGTGGCTCCACAGTCACAAAACAAGCATCTGAGAGGCCGATGAGAACTGTTTCTGGGCCGTTCAGATGGAGCTGTAAAAGGCTGATCAATGGGAAGGTGTAGAATCGTGCCGCCGGTTCCGTGGTTCCGCTTGCTGTCGGGGCCGGTCCTCGGTCCGGCGGGCGCCGAGTCCCAGACCCAAGAATTTAAAGGGGCCGCACCCGCCGGGCCTCCCCGCGGGCTCCGCGTATCGCTGGTGCCCAGATGTCAACATCTGCGCCGGCAAAGCAGCCGGGGAAATGGGATCCACAGGTCTAATACTGACACTGGGTTTTCAAAGCTCTTCTTTTTCTCTTAATTTCCATATGCAACTCAAAGTCGGGATGCCTCTAATCTCATCACAACTCCATCCACTTCCCCCCCTCCCCACCCCAAGAACTAATCAGCCAGCAGCCGTCTCCACAGCCCTCCTCCCTCCGGGGGGGAAGGGGAGGATTCAAACCCAGGGCTGACTTCTCCCCAAACCAAAACCCAGAGCGAGCCGGACAAATGTCAAAAGCGTGGCCATCACGCGGCCACACAGCGTGCGTCCGGGTCACGGGCGCCCGGGCGGCTTACATGGCGCCGGAACAAAGTCAGATCCCAGGTCCCGGGAAGCCGCCCGGGCCGCGCTGGAGAGATGGCCCCCCGCCGGAGGAGCACGGCCTTCTCCGGACGGACGGAGGCCGCCGGGGGCAGGGCGCGCCCCGCGTCCACGTGTGAGCGCTCCCGAGCCCGAGCCCACGTCGCGGCCGCGAACCCGGCGGGGCCCGGAGGGACCACGTCGGCGCGGCGGGGCCGGGACCGGCCGGGGAGAGGGCGGCCCCGCGGGGCGCGGGTGGCCCGGGGGAGCCCGGCCGGCATGGGCACCGGCATGGACACGGACACTGACACAGACACCGGCACGCGCGCACCAGCTCCCGGGCCCAAGGTGTGCCGGGGGGACCCCCTACCCCACGCAGGACAGAGGGGGCCGGGGACGCAGGACGCCCCCCGAAGGCGGCGACTGGCCAGGGCCGAGGAGCCACCTGAGCAGCGGCGGTCAGGACCCTCCTCCGCCGGCCGGGGGTCGGGGGTCCGGGTCGGGGTCGGGGTCGGGGGGATCCGGGCTTCGGGTCCGCCCACCGGCCCGCCCACGCGCCCCGGCCTCTCCTCGGGGCTCCTCCCCCTGTGGGGTCTCGGCCCCGGAGGCCGAGGGGGGCTGGCTCTGCGGAATGGGTCGCCGCCCCCAGGACACCCCGAACCCCAGCAGGACGCGGGCGCGCGGGGAGGGGACACTGACCTCTCGGGCCGTGGCGGGTCCTCTCGGGGCGGCCCCTCCGAGGGTCTCCCGTCCGCCCAGTGCCGGCGGCCACGGCAGGACGGTCTCAGCGCCACTCGGCGAGGCTCCGGCAGCTCCGCGGGCAGGACCCGCCTGTGTTCTTCCGCCCCCCGGCCCCCGGCAGTGACCTGATCCCTTGTGAGGTGGCTCCGGGCGGCGGCGGCGGCGGAGATGGGACCGGAGCCTACAGTTGAGGTTTGAAAACTGCAGCCGCGTTGCGGGGCAGTGCTGTCGGCTGAGACCCACCCCCTCCGCCCGGAGAACCAATCGGAGAGCGCGGAGAGGGCGGAGTCGTCACGTGACGGGAGGGGCGGGGTGCCAGCTGGCGGCGCGTGTTGGGGGCGTGGCCAGCGCGGGGGAGGGCGTGGTCAGCGCGGGGGAGGGCGTGGCCGGCCGCGGCGCAGGTGGAGCGCTGAGGTCATCGCTACCTGGGAGGGGTGCTGGGGCGCTGCCGGCCCGCGAGCCAGGCTGTGGCTCTCTACCCGGCTGCACCCCTCCTGCCCACGCGGTGCGAGTGTCTTCAGGTGGGAGAGGGAAGAAGCCCCAGGAGCTGCCGTGCTCCCCACTCATCAAACTCCTGTCCCGACCTGGGGACCGTGTCCGACTTTCCCTCTCCCGAGTAGTCTCTCCAGTGACCAGAGCCCACCCGGATGTGCAGAGCGCCTTTGCCAGGACCTGGGGAGCACCCCCATTGCTCCAGCGCCCTTTTCCCCCAGGCCTGGCCCAGGCGGTGTAAGCAAAGTCCCCGCGGGGTGCATTGCGCGTTTGACTTGCAGGGTGCCACCCGGAACAACGAAAGCCCACGTTGAGGGACCCAGGCTATGTTACCTCCAGAAGAGAATGAAAAGGTGGAAAGTTCTGTGCCAGACACAGTTGCGTTTTGTCTTGTTCTTTATCCTGTAGGATCGGTTGCAGATATTTAGAATAATCATAGAAGACTATTGGGAAAACATATGGGGGGGGGGAATATATGGGCGCACTCTCTTTCTAAAGACTTTGACACTCCACAAGGAAGAGGAGGTTTCTGCTGTCCTTGCTCTACGCCAGGAAACCAAGCAAATTCCCAGGATCCGTATGCTCCTCTTTACTGCATTTTCCCCAAGACAAGTGAATAAAATGTCTGTATGTCATTCAGGGAAGCCTGCTCATTTTCACTTCACTGACTCATTCCAGGTTAATGTGTCTGGTCCCTAAGCCTTGTCACCTGAGAATATTGCTTCCATTCATCTAGTTTATGGTTGCTGACTATTAGAGGGACAAGAGAAGCCTAAAGTTAGGATGAAACAAACAAAAAGAAGTGGCACGCTGACTTGGACTTTTCAGTTGCCATTATCTTAAAGTCCCCACACTGGTGAGACTGTTCCCATATCTTTTTATAAACACAGGGGTGGAATCCCGAAGGTCTCAGCACCAGCACCAGAGAGGATGACCTCTGAGGGTCACAGGACCGTGTCCAGTAGCGACTTTTGTTTGTGTATGGTTTATCTATGGGCCTCCTCAAGTCCAGCATCTGATGTGTCGCCAGCTCTTAGTCTCTTCTCCGTCGGCCCAGTCACTCCACATCTTTCCATCCCTGTGGCAAACCAGACACCCCTTCCTGTGGCCACTAGCCCCCACTCCAGCCGGTCAGCCAACCGAGAGGCTTTTCAGGTCTTGCATGTTCCCTCCTCCACCTTAGCTCCAGCTCTTCACCCTCCTCATCATCAGTTTCCAACTTTAAAGAAGGTTTTGCTCTCCAGAAATCAGAAATCTGTGCTGCTGGTCACCTCTGACTCCTAACCTGACCACCTGTTTGCCCTGTGTTCATAGGTGCAGGCCCTGCCCTCATGCCAATTCATTCATGCCCCTAAGTAGGTTGTTAACCCTGGTACCTGGTATCAGATATGCCTGCTAGGCTTCTGCCCACTACCCCAAGGCCACTCGCCTACATCTGCCTGGGCTCAGGCACTGGGTTAGTTAAGGAACAGGGAATCCCTGGTGCTGAGGAGCAGACTGTACCATCTGTGGCCTTGAGTAAGATTCAGGACTCAACATGTCCCTCCAAACTATCTCATTTACCTAAAATGATGCCTAGCTGTGCCAAAGACTCATGCATAGTCACCTTAAAGAAGCAAATGCAGATTGATTAAATTAATTTTGATATATTTGATTCAAGCCAGTGTATCCAAAATATTGTCCTTTCAATATGTGATCAAGATGAAAGTTATTAATAAGATATTTTTCATCCTTTTTTTTAATATTGTCCTAAGTACGGGGCACTTTACATTTGCAGCACATCCCAATTTAGATGCTAAATTTTCATCAAAAACACTGGATCTGTATGTAGACTGCACAAAATTTACCACTGAAAAGACTCATATCTCTACATTGTTTCAAAACTGAGCATTTCCAGTTAATGAATACAGTATCGGTCTCTTAATTTAATTACAGTGGGAAGAAGTTATGAATCAGTCACGACAGCCACATTTCAAGTGCCCCATCGCCACATGTGATTGGTAGCTACTGCACTGGACAGACAGACCCAAAGGGCCACAAACGTGCCTTCTAACTGACCCCAAACCTTAAAATTGCTTAATGCAGAACTAGACACAATGCAGGGTCTCAATAACCCACATTCCTGGAGCAGTTTGGGACTTCAAAAGTTCTCAGGGGTCAGTAGTCCAACTCCCTTGTTTTAGAAAAGAGAAAATGTAGAATGGAATCAGTAAAGGGACTTGCAAAAGATCACATAACTGAACTAGTGGGTGCATATCTGAACAAGAATTCAGGTCTTTTGATTCTTAACCCTAAGGACATTCCACTTCATTATGTCAGACATACTTCAAGGGGGGAGAGCGGGAGGAAGATTTTTAATTTATTTGAATAGTCACTTGAATGATAGGGGCAAAGAAATCCATTTTTATGTCCCAATTGCATTTGCATAACCCGATGCAGACAGTGTGTCCTGGGATGTGTAAGGCCTGCTCCCGCCGTGGTCTGGGGTCTGGGTGATCTAATCTGTCAGTCTCTGTCACCTTGGCCCATCACCGCTTCCTCTCCTTGGAGCCACCTCAATGCACACCCAGCCTAGCCAACCCCAGCGCTTCCGGCCACATTTCTCTGTTTCAGCTGTCCTCACCCAGCTGTCTACAACAATTTGGCTAAGGTTGTGCTTCAGAGAATTCTATTTGCAAACCAGAGTATTCAGTAGAAGCTACAGAATTGATATCTTCCATCCACAAACACGCGAGCTGTGGGGTGAGAGTTATGTATGAGAGAGAGAGAGAGAGAGAAAGAGAGAGAGAGAACATGCATGTGTGGATAAGTGTGTGGCATTCAGCAGCCCTGCATTCACGGCCCAGCTCTGCCCATTTGTAGTTGTATGGCTTTGGGCAATCCTCAGTTTCCTCATCTGAGGGGGAAAAAAAAAAAAAAAAAAAGAAGAGTCATCGCAGCTACTTCTGTGAGACTAAACTGCGGTAATACACACAGAGCACAGTGCCTTGCAGATACAGGCCCCGAGTCCGTGGCCTGCAGGCTTCCTGAGGAGGACTGCTTCTCCCTGGCTTCCTGCTGCACCTTGTGACCAGCAAAACGCTTGCGACGGAGTGAGGTCCTGCGTGCATATTTTTCCAATGACTTTAGAAGATGCTTAAGATTCCCTCAGCTCATATGATTGATCGATGCTAGGAGAGGTGACTGGGGGGAAAAATAAAGCTGACATGCTGGTCAGGAAAGGAGGGAAGCAGCTGGCTGCTTTCCCTTTCAGAATCCACCTGGCGGAGGCACCCAGAGTCACGCTGGAAGAGCCACAGATGCTGACGCCCAGGCCTGGGCTCGTGTTTAAAGGGAAGTAGATTACCGAGTGGAACAAGGACATAAATATAGGGTGTAAAACTGTCATTTATTTTACTTTAGTAGATAAACGTCTATGAGTGCTCCCCCACAAATCCCCTCCCTTTTCACTTTCCCCAGGTACTTCCTGCACCAACATCACACTCCATGAATGGTGACCCGGGGTCCCACTCCCCAGAGCTCACAGCAGGTAAAGCGTTCAGGAATCCCGAGTGATGTGAGTCTTCTTGCATCAGGCAGCCAGAGGCACAGAGAAGGCAGGGCTGACCTTTAACCCCTACCATTTCCTTGTTGGGAGTGCTCTTGGCCTCAACTGGCTTAAGGTGACAGCAGGAGCTTTGAGAAGGCCGGTCTCCCCTAGATGAGTCCTTCCGGGGCATTGACGCGCTGATCATTTGAGAATGGCCCCTATTAATGAGCAGCACAATATTCCTGACCCTGAGAACATTCCAAGTGTCTCCCAGTCTTTTTTTTCAGTAGTTAGCCTTCCCTTTAGATTTATAGAGGAGCATTTCATAGCTTCGTTTTTTATAAAAAGATATAGAGCTGCTCAGAAACCCTTTTAAGGGCACATATTATGGGGGAAAGGGGGGGCGGTGTCTGAAAATTACTACCTGTGAGACCTTGAACAGGTTATAATACACCCATGCCTGCTGTTTCATCTGAAAAACTGAAATAATAATAGATTTATCCCATAGGGTGCAAAGTACCATTAGCTCCTAACAAATCGTGAGCCTCGCACAGTTCTAAGCGTGCTGTTTCTGTTAACTCGTTTAACCCTCCCCCTCCTATGAGTAAAGTGCTGTAGTTTCCTCCTTTAAAGATAAGAAAGCTAAGAGATATGGATGTATATACTTCCCCACAGAAACCTAAGTTCCAGTGAAGCAGAAACCAGTGAAGCCAAGATGCAAGCTCACTCCGCTACATGGCCTTTCCCTCGGGACATTGAGCAACTGTAGCCACTAACAGAGCACAGGTTCTTGAGTGTTCAGTTCGCCTTAGTCTCCGGTGCCCCTGCGCTTTTTATCCTTTTTTTTTTTTTTCTCACACCTCCCATTCCAAAATGTCTTCATTGTTGAAGTAACTCTACAAATACATAACAAATGCAAGGGGAGGGGCCTAGAATTAACCACGTGGCCGTGGATAAGAGTTAGAGGCACTGGTGTGACCGAATGCTTAGCTTACTATAGATATGGTTGGGAGAGGGCGTAACGTTTACATATAGAACTATTTATAGACAGATGTGTGCGCCTGGGTAAACAGTCACCAATATATCCTTGCTCTGTCAGCAGAGAGCACATAGGAGCCATGACACCCTAGGAGCAATAAGCACGCAGATCAC